GGCATCTCTCCAGCCATTGAGGCTCCCCTGTTTTTCCTTCTGTAGCTCTCAGCTTGACATGTTGGAATCCTGTAAGATGATGGATGAGGATGGGGCTCCTCACCTGTGCCCCTGAAGGCTGGATAAATGTCTCCCCATGGGCTGGGACACCACCAGCACCCAACTGTTGACTGTTTTGCAGTCAGATCAGCTCCTTTCTGGACCCAGAGATCCATGGGGTGCTGGGGGACTCAGCCACCCCCAGGTGATCCCCCTGCTGCTCCCTGACCCCATGGGAGGAATGCTTCCCATTAGCAGTCTCTGATAAGAGGCAGGAAGGAGAATTACTCTCCGTGTTGGGCAGTTTGTTAGAGGTTTTCACACTTAACATATCACCACTATCAGCTCCCTGAAATGCACAGGAGAGGAGTGCAAAGGCGGCTGTTTAGATAAAGACAATCTGCAGAAGGGCTATTTTGGGCATATTTCCATCCAGCGGGAATGTCTGCGCACAGGCGGGGCTGACAGCCCAGCATTGCCATCTGACAGCATCCCTCCAGTCAGCCTAGGGTTGCAAGGCTCCCTCCAAAGCAAATGCCTGCTCTGCAAAGCACTTTTTCACCAAAAAGCCTTTGGGAACAGATGTGAAGTTGCTGCTGCTTGCTGTGGCAAAAGATTTGGGCAGCAAGAGGGCCTGAGCACTGTGCTTCCAGTACATGCAATAAATGAATATCCAAAATGACTATCAGGACTGTGAATGTACCTGGAAGAAACATGACTTGATAAATCAGGCCAGAATTTGCAAGCAGAGTTCTGGGAAGTTCCCATTCAGGCACGGACAGCAAGATCACCTGGAGATGGGGAGAACTGGAGAGTTTTATTTGTTCACTTTGATTTTCCCAGCTCTGAGATTCTTTTTTCTTCTCCACATGGATGGCCACTGAAAGACCCAGCATCTATTTAGCAGCAAGAGTTGTACTGAATGCTGCAAACATCACAGGAATGTGTGAACTGACTTCAGCGAAGATGCTTGAGGTTTTGGCAATGCATTTCAAAAAGAGAGAAAAGAGCCTCTTGCCCCAGTCATCTGAACATTTAGTAACACCTCAACTGTGGCTGGCTGGCAGGACAGGTCCTGGCACACAGCAGCTGTTGGAAATCAGGTCCATGAGCTGTCTTGGTCGTGATTTCCAACACATTTCTGCACGGTGTGGGACAGGACATATGCTGAGCCCACAGCACCCAGCTGCTCAGTCCCTGCTCGCTCCACTCCTCACACATCCTCACTGTTCCATGGGAAGCTCCATCAGAGCCGTGCTGAGAAGACAGCTGACGGAACTGAGCGTGCTGCACTGGGATGTGCTGCATGGCCTCAGCATTTGTTTTCTTAGCTTCACGAAAGCTGTGTCTCTGCTCTCCTAGCCCATCAGCCCAGTTTCCTGTTTGCTGCATGCTCAAGCACTGCTTAATTCTTTCCCCCCTTACTGTGCATGGTCAGCAAGCCTCTTGCTTGATCAAACTCAGCTTGTCTCATGACAAGGGACGACTTCAAGACAAAGTGGCAACAACCATGGGAGTTCTTCACGGGACCTGGTAGGCTTGGCTCTTCCGTAAGACTGGCTGCCATCTGGAAGGGAGCGATGTTCCTGCATGTCCCCATGCTGTGGCAGACCTCCCTGACCTCCCTACATCACTGTGGCCCGTCAGATGCTCACAGCAAGGAAGTGGCTCACTCCAGGCTGCCAAGCAGGCTGTGACCTGGTGAAGGCAGAAGGAGATTGTGGTGACAAGGCAGGACTTCTTCTTGGTTAGGGAAGCAGATTCTTCACATCTGCTGGTGCCCCAGACCCACACAAAAGGCTGTGGCAGGGTCTTGCCCAGGCCTGCGTTGAGAACACACACAGAATCTTGGCTGAGTCACAGAAGCCCCAGAAATGTCTGGTGACACCTCTCAGCTTCTGCTCAATATCCACAGCACTTTGAGGGGCTGCTGCTGTCCCCCACAGTTGGTGCATGCTGCTCCATCCAGGGATCCAAGCTGAGCATTTAATTCTCCAGATTGGTGTGCATGCCCAATTCCAGTTTTCCAGTCTGGATGCACCCTGTTAGGACAGCAGTTTGCAGAAAGCAGCTTTCCCTTACAAATTCCCTGGGACCAGGAAAGTCCTGTCCCACGGCTTTTTGGGCTATAGGGCTACCATGAGCAACCTGGTGCAGCAGCAGAGGTGGACACAGCCTGAACTGTCACCTGTTTGTTGGCTGCGGAGTGAAATAAACCTCCCAGAAAGCACCCCAAGGGGGCAGATCCTGGTGCTGCAGGGGCCATAGGTCAGTGGGTCCACTAAGAAGGAGTTGAGAGGCATTGGAACAGACTGCCCAGGGAAGTGTTGGAGTCACTGTAGCTGGAGGTTTTCAAGAAAAGGGTAGATGTGGCACTTGGGGACATGCTTTAGAGGGTGTGGTGGATTGGTAAGACTAGATCTTAGTGGTCATTTCCAACCTTGGTGATTCCGTGATTCTATTCCACGATCCTATATATGGCCATGCTGGTGGGTCAAGAAGGAGATGAGCATCCATGGCCATGGTACAGGGCAAGCTGCTGGGAGGCACGTGTGCACATCCCCATCCTGGAGCTTGTGCTCCACTCTGGAAAGTGACAGCAAAGCCAACCTCAGGTGAAAGGTGATGGTTTTGTTTTCTGGGTCCCAGTGGATCACTCGCAGCCCGGTTCAGTGCTATTTATACCTCACTGCATGGCACAGAAAGGCCTGGTGGAAGAGCTAAGGAAGTGAAATTACTTTGGGGAAGAAATGACACTACTCATTTATAAATAACTCGGGTTTCATTGATCTTTTAGATGCTCCCTTGGCAGAGAGTCCAATGTCATCGCTCCAGTCATGCAGACAATACTTGGGTATTGTTTTATTCTCAGTTACAGGGAAAAGGACAGCACCAGCTGCCTCGCTATCTTTAGCCCATGAGAGCACCCCTCAATTGTTCTGCACTTCAAACAATAGGCACACGTGTGGAGGGTTTAAGATTGCTGGCCTTAGCAGAGCATTTCACATTGAAATGCAGCCTCGGAGACAATAGATTTCTTTCATGCCCTTGCTCAAGCTGGTATTCCTATGACGAAGAAGCCAGGGTGCAGGAGCTCTGCCTTGTTTTCTTCCAGCAGGATGGGCCAGCAAGGGGGCTGGGCTCCCTGGGGAGCAAGCTCCATCCACAAAAATAGCCCTATTGTTCTGCCTTTGGCTGGTGTGGAACATCACATCATCCTCCCCGCTTGCAGGGTCAAACCAGTGGCCCTCTTACTACTCCATTGCAAAATGTGTTTCAGCACCGGCATGCAAACGTCTCAAGATACAACAGCGTTGGCCAAAACCCCACGAGTTGGTTTCTCTGCAGCTGGAACAGCAGCAAGGCAGAACAAGGCGATTTTTTTTTTAACAGGGTACCAGGGGAAGCGAGCACAGAGGACGAGCACTGCTCGGAAGGCAGCAGGTCGGTGAGCACCAGCAGCTGCATCGTATCGAATGCCTGCATACCTCGGCAGCACGGCCGGCTCACAGCCGCCCGCTCCCTGCCCACCCTGCAGTGCTTGCATCCCAAGCACCTGGGCACGCTGCAAGCATCGCAGGCTTGGTGTGGGGCTGCTGGGAATGGACCTTCCACTGAGGGGAACAAGAAAAGCAGCATTGGCTCAGAGCCATTTACACCCTCCTTGCTGATGCTGATTTGTATTGAGTTTCACTTGTCTGATCCCTGGGCAGCCTTTGAGAGCAGACACAGCACCCCAAAGCCACAAAGTTCATCTTGGAATGCCCTGATAAAGCCAGAAGAGAGGTTTACAAACATAAAGCGTTTTTCTTTTAAGCTTTGCAGGACTCTATTTTTAGCAAATAAAGATAACGTCCCAGTTGCTGTTGTTCATCTTTTGTTGCACGGAACATGCCAAATACTTACCATGTCTGCCATGTTTTTTTTATCATTTAACCTTCTCCAAGCTGCATTGTGGCTCCCTCGCGCTGCAGCAGAGATTATGGGCTATCTGCATGTGCTCTTCATAGGATGGCTTAGGTTGGCGTGGACCTTAAAGATCATCTAGTTCCAGCCTCCTGCCACGGGCAGGGCTGCCAACCACCAGAGCAGGCTGCCCAGGATTACATCCAACCTGGCTTTGCATGCCTCCAGAGATGGAGCATCCACAACCGCCTGGACAACCCATGCTGCATCCGCCCTGGGTTAGTTAGGAAAGATCTCATTCTCCAGACTGAATTTGGAAAAAGAGAACAGAAGGCAAGGCAGAGCTCCCTACAAAAAGAGCTTTCCCAGCCTGAGCAGGCTGTGTTCATTCTGGGTGCTGTGAAGACAGGGCAGCACCTTTCCCAACTCTCCTGAAATGAAACTGGACTGTGTTTTGCAATGCTTTGATTAGGAACTGCAGCTTGCCACGTCCTTCCTTTACTCTCACAGCAAGCAGGGAGCAGAGCAGACTCTGGGCCCTGCCAGGAGAACTGAGAAGGCAACACTACTGCCTGCATGCACCCACCATGTCCTACACCCATCCCATCCTGTACCCACCATGTCCTACACCCATCCCATCCTGTACCCACCATGTCCTACACCCACCCCGTCCTGTACCCACCATGTCCTACACCCAATGCTTCCCCCCACCGTGTCCTACACCCAGCACGTCCTATACCCAACGCATCCTACACACAATGCATCTTAAACCCAACACACCCTACACCCAACACGCACCCAAAGCCCTACACCAGCCGGACCCAAAGACGCTGCCTCCCCTCCCTATATCAAGCACGCATGCGCGCCTTAAGCCCCGCCCTCCTCCCTGGCTTCTTTGTTCCACGCTGATAGGTCCGTGACGCTGCCAATCGGCTAGCCTTTAGGGGCGGGGCCAGGATATTGTCCAATCGCTGTGAAGAAGGCGGGGCAGCCCGGGAGCGCAGGAAGGAGGTACGGGTTGGGGTGTGCGGCGTGCGGGCTGTAGGGGGCTATGGGGGGTGCGGGGTGCAGGGGCATGGTGTGCAAGGGGGGACTGGGATGCTATGGGGTTCAGGGGTCTAGAGGGCTATGGGGGGCTGTGGGATGCAGGGTGGCTGTGGCGTGCAGGGAGTTATGGGGGCTGTGGGGTGTAGGGAGGCTATGGGGGATTCGCGAACTATGGGGTGAAGAGGGGCAGTGGGGGACGGAAGGGACATGAAATGCAAGGGGGGGTGTGGGATGCGGGCTGCCTGTAGGGTGCAGAAGGGCTATAGGCAACGGTGGGGGTGTGAGTTGCAGGAGGGCAAGAGCAGGCTGGATGCAAGTTATGGGGTTCAGAGGCTGTCAGCCGAGGCATGGTGTCCATGGGGAGATGTGGGGTGCTGGGTACCACCAGTGGGGCCAGGGCAGGCTCTGCCTCTCCTCACCCCAGCCAGGGCTGCTCAGTGGCCGTGGCTGACCCTGTGGCCCCGCAGCATGGCGGGGCTGTGGGACGTGGTGCTGCGGGATGAGGCAGCCCTGAGGCAGGCAGCAGTGGTGGCGGTGGATGCGGCGCTGCTGGAGGGCGTGCTGATGCGCACTGATGCTGAGCCCAACGCCTCCGAGGTAAGTGTTGTCCCCTCTGGCCCCCCAGAGCTGCACAGCCCCACACCAAGGCACTGCTGCTGTGCCCCTGCAGGTGGTGAGCTATGCACCCTTCACACTGCTGCCCTCGGCTGTGCCCCGTGCCCTGTTTGAGCAAGCCTATGCTGTACAGCGGGACTTCAACCTGCTGGTGGATGCCATCAGCCGGGACAAGGAGTTCCTGGAGCACACCCTGGCCAGGTAACGTGTTGCAGGTTGCGTTTAGTGGAATGCAGAATCATGGATTCGTTGAAGAGAGTCATTAAGTTTGGTAAATGCCTCAGAGATTGTCTAGTCCAACCATCAACCCACCATGCCCACTAACCCACATCCATCAGTGCCACATCTTCACACCTCCAGGGACAGTCACTCCACCACCTCCCTGGGCAGCTGTCCCACTGCATCCTTGCTCTTTCAGAGAAGATATTTCTCCTAATATCCAACCTAAATATTAAGTAGGAATCATGTGTCATCTCTGCAGGAATTCTCTTCTTTGCTGGCTTTTTGTCCTAGCGCTCATTTCCATCAAGTCTCTGTGATTTGAGATCTCCCTGGGCCAGCAGTTGGCTGCCTGCAGTGATTTCTGCCTCACCAATACCTGAGCCTTGCGGCTTCTTGCTTCGCTGGCACTGGGGCTGTAAATTCAAGTAGCTGGAGGCTTCGTCAAGTCCTGCCTGCAGCAGCCTGCTTTGGTCTTGTCTGCACTTGTTGGCAGCTGGCTGCTTGCTGCCGAAGCCTTAAGTTGCCTTACATTGTGTCACGGGAAGTTCAGGTTGGAGATCAGGAGAAATTCTTTCTCAGAAAGAATAGTTATGCATTGGAACAAAGGGGAATTGGTGCAGTCACTGTCCCTGGAGGTGTTCAAGTCATGTGGAGGTATGGCACTGACAGACATGGGTAGTGGGCACGGTGGGATGGCTTGGGATTGGAGTGGATGATCTTAGAGGTCTTCTGCAACCTTAATGATTCTGTGATTCTGTGAAGTACTCAGCACTGCAGCACACAAAACTCAGAGACCCGGCAGGGCAGGCATCTGGTGCAGCCCCTGAGCTGTGTGTGTGTGCAGGCACGGGGATGCCTCTGGGTCCTTCCCTGTACCTGCAGAACTCTATCATATTCCTTTGCTTTTGCTCTGTGCTGTCTCTGCCCCACATCCCCACACACTGCACCAGGAATATCCCCAGCAGGGATTCCTAGTGCCTCTGTAGAGCTGTGAGAGGACTGACCTGGTCCTGCTGTCCCTCCAGCACCATCAAGGTGGATGACTTCACGGCACGGCTCTTCAGGATCCACCAGCAGGTTCTGGAGGAAGGGCTGGCACAGGTAGGCTGCAGCAGGGTGGGTGGGCTGCCACAGGCCTCAGCCCCCTGTGGGTGCAGTCGGAGGGAGTTGCATGGAGCCCCTCAGATGGGTGTGGGGTCACTGCTAAGCGGTGTTGTACAGAGCCAAGGCCATTCACAGCAAAGAGCCCAAGGGGCTGGGAGGGAAGGGAATAAGGACAGCTGACTTCAACTGGCTAAGAGGATATTCCATGTCATATGACATCACGTGGAAGGAGTTTTCAAGGGAGTGGGAGTTCATTTCACTCTCATTAACTTGCTGGAGGCTAGCTGGGCATCAGTTGGGGGATTCTGAGCAATTGCTTGTTCATCACTTGTTCATTATATATAACCATAATTATTTATGCTTTTCCTTGTTCTCTTAGTAGGTGGTTTTATCTCAACCCACAAGTTCTGTTTTGTTTTGATTCTCTCCCCCATCACACTGAGAATGGAGGGAGCGGGCGAGCAGCTGCCTGGTGCTAAGCCACCCGCTGGGTGGATGCAGGACCCCACCTCACTCCCTCCCCTCCGTCTCAGTCTGTGTTTTTAGGCATCAACCGCTCTGACTACATGTTTGACTGCGGGGCAGCCAGCCCGCCGGCGCTGAAGCAGATTGAGATCAACACCATCGCTGCCAGCTTCGGGGGCCTCGCCTCCCGCACCGCTGCCGTGCATGGGTACGGAGCAGCTGTGGCTCACCCTGCGCCCCAGCACAGACCCGTGGTGCCTGGGGCCAGGTCTGGAGCTGCTCCTATCGTGCAGGCGGGTGCTCAGAGTGCTGGGGAAGCCTGAGCAGGCGGCGAGGTTGCTGCCCAATGACCCTGCCCAGGGGCTGGCCATGGGCATCACCAAGGCCTGGGAGCTGTACGGCTCGCCGAGGTGAGTGCTGCCAGCTCCTGGAGCTGCACATACTTAGTTTACAGCTGTACTTCTCAGACCATGCTGTTGGTTTAATGACCCTGATAGAGCCCAGCCTCTTCCTGCCTTTCCCCTTTGTGTGTGCCCAGCACGTGGTGGTGTCACAGAGCCAGTCCTGCTCTCTGTGCCAGCCACAGAACTGCTGCAGGAGGCTCACAGGAGCTGTGCAGGCAGCCTGGATCACAGAGATCAGTGGTGGGTGAGCCTGGTGTGTGATCTCTGAGTTAATGGTGCCCTGTGTGTCTCTTCCAGTGCCGTGGTGATGTTCCTGGTGGAGGAGGCCCAAAGGAATATCTTTGATCAGCGATGTGTGGAAAACAAGCTTTGGGACAGGTAAAGCAGAGTCTGTCTGCTTCTCAGTTGGCCACCTGTGCAAGGTTAAAGTTAAAACATGTCACGGGTTCCTGGCCTGTTGGAGGGCGTGCTGTGGTGTGCAGCAGGGCTGTCCTTACCTTGGACTGCTCCCTGAGGTCTCTCAGCTTTCCTTTGCCAGCATCCTGCTCCAGCAGCACCAAGCCACTGCGCTCCAGGAGTGGTTCCTTGCCAGTGATGTACCCATGGGTCCTCAGAGCTGCTTCAAGGTGGCTTTGCTGCAGGCCAAGCCAATAAGGAGCAGAGCAGGGATAGTGGTGGTCCTGTTTGCTTTCTAACTTGGGATTGGGCAGAGGGTCTTCAGTAAAAGCTTAATTATTGAAGCTTCAGCCCCACTGGGAAGGGCTCTACAGATCTGTGGGGCTCTGGAGAAGGTGAGGTCAGAGGAGGCTGAGCATAGTTGGGGGAAGAGCCACAGCCCCACCAGGGACTCTGCAGGGCCACAGTGCCACTGTGTGGGGAGGGATGATAGAGCTGAAGGGAGGAGGTTCCCAAGGAGGCAAAGTGTCTGCAGCCACTGGCTGGGAAGCCAGCAGTGAGCCTGTCCTGCAGGTATGACAGAGCAGAATGATCACTGGCTTCTTAGAAAAGCTTTAGGAAGTGAAAAGTGAGTGTGGAAGAATGCGGGGTGTTCAGCACACGCTGCTTCCTGCAGCATTTGAGCTGGGTGCTGGAAATGGAGCTGTTCTGTGAGCTGTGTGTGCCTCTTGTGACCGCCCTGCTCCTCCTGCAGGAACATTCGGGTCATCAGGAGGAGGTTCCGGGACGTGTATGAGCAGGGCTCCTTGGATGACTCCCGCAGGCTCTATGTGTGAGTATGAGCAAGGTGCGCGCTCTGGCTCTGCACCGGGCATGCAGCTCTCAGCTGGAGTTGCTGGGATGGTTTTGAGTGTAAATAGTGGCTTTCTGAGTGTGCAGGTCTCTTCCATGCCCCAGGCTGCTGCTGCTGCTGCTTCCCTGAGGGATTATGTGATTGTTTTCCCATAAATGGTGGGACTTTGCATGCTAGAAGCCCTATTTCTCTCCCCCAGACCACAGCCTCTGTGCTCTACAGGGCCCTTTCTTCCTCTGTGCACATCTGCAGCACATCCAGGCTGTTTCTGAGGTTTGCACTGACACATTTCCTGTTGACCCCTCACTTGATGCTTTGCCTGGGTCTGCCTGGAGGAGGAAGCACCGTGTCTGTGATGGGCACTGAGCATGCTCTGCGTCTCACCCACGCAGGCAGCTGATGCCAAGTGTGACGTTTGTCCTATCTCCAGGCTAACGTGCTGGGAGCTGCACGAGCCCAGAGGAAGCTGTGGTTGCATGCCAATGTTTTTTCTGTTGTTAGGCAGTTTTTTTCCATGCTCTGACCTTTGGGGCCTCCGCCACATTTAATTAATGAATACACTTGTCAGCGCCAGGCAGTTAAGGGAAAAGTATTGCAGTGCTTCCTCTGGAGCATCTTCCCCTTTCCATGAGTGCTGTCACATGGCAGTGGCTGTGCTGAGCTGTGGGGCTGAGGCTGGGGTGCGTGGTACCATGATGCTGGCAGCTGTGCCCTGCCCTGAATCATCCTCGGATAAAGATCCTGTTCCCTCCCAGCCATAAGAACATGAGGTTGCTGAACAATGAGCTCCTGACCTCCCTCTGGGCTGGGTGCCTGACTTATGGAGGCTGTGCTTAGAGCAGGGCTTCCGATATCCCAGGTGCTGCTTCTTGAGGAACTCAGGAGACAAAGTAGAAAGTGCAAACCCCATCACATGCTGCCTGTCAGCCCTACGTGCTGGGCTTTGGGCAGAGGAGCTGCTGGCTCTGATGGCTGCTGCTTTCTGTTCCAGGGACGGCCAGGAGGTAGCAGTGGTGTACTACAGAGAGGGCTACGTGCCGAGCAACTACGATCAGCAGGTCAGCACCCACTGCTTGCTCCTAGAAGCTGTGGCAGGGGTTTGGAACACCCCATGGTCCTGTCCTGGGTGGGGTTAATCCCATCCGGGTGGTGTTGGGATGCTGCCTGTCCCCACTGCTCGTGTGATGCTCCTGTAGTAAGGAAAGCAGGTGGCTTCCTTCTGCAACCACCATTCCTGTGGGCACCTCCTGTTTGCAGCCCTGAATCGCTGCTGAGCAATGCAGGTGAATGCAGATTAGCACATAGTTAAAGGTTTGAACTACAAACCTTTTCCTACCCTCAGTTATGCATTAGGACTGGTAGTAGCAGGTGAGAACAATACAGAGCAGCTCTTGCTGCTGCCTGGAAAGGGGGAGATGGTGGAGCAGCCTGGTGTGCCGCTCCCAGGGGTTGTGGCAGATCTGTGGTTGCAGCTCTGCTGGGATCAGAGTTCTGTCCCCATCGCAGCAGGCAGGGATCTCACACGGAGGGCTGAGCAGAAACAAGAGGAGGAAGCCTGGCTGTGCTGATGGGCTGATTGCTCTCCCCCTGTCTCAGAACTGGGAGGCACGGCTGCTGCTGGAGAGGTCGCGGGCAGTGAAGTGCCCTGACATTGCCACGCAGCTGGCTGGCACCAAGAAGGTGCAGCAAGAGCTGAGCCGCCCGGGGATGCTGGAGAAGCTGCTGCCTGGCCACGCTGAGGCTGTCAAACGCATCAGAGCAACGTTTGCTGGGCTGTACTCGCTGGATGTGGTGAGTGGGATTGGAATGAGGGTGAAGACAAGACACACACTTGGCCTGCATGGTGTAATTCCTTGGTTCAGAAACATCAGTATGTTTTGCTGGCCTCGGGCCCCTGGTATTCATGCTCAGAGAGGTCTCTGGAGGAGCTCCTGCTTCTCACTGATGCTTTGCTGTTGCTGTCTTTCTTCCAGGGTGAAGAGGGTGACCGGATTGCTGCCACAGCTATCGCCAGCCCTGAGCGGTTTGTGCTGAAACCACAGCGAGAAGGAGGAGGTATGAGCTCGAGTGGGTTCTCCTGGGTTTTGGTGTGGTTCACACTCTCCAGGATCCCCTGTGATGGCTCCTGGTCCTGATCAGAGGGGTGAGAGGCAGGGTGGAGTGGCTTTCTGCCTACAGGGATGTATCAGAGAAGTGAGGGAGCTCAGGACTGAGAGTGCAGGGCAGGCACCTGACTCATGTGTTCCACCCTCAGGGAACAACCTGTATGGTGAAGAGCTCAAGCAGGTCCTGGAGAGGATCAAAGACAGCCCTGAGAGAACCTCCTACATCCTGATGGACAAGATTGAGCCGCAGCCAGCAGTGAATTACTTGTTGAGGGCATGCAGTCCCCTAAAGGCCTCCAAGTGCATCTCAGAGCTTGGTATTTTTGGTGTCTATGTCAGGTGAGTATCAAGCAGTATGGAGTGCTTCCTATCCTTGCTCCTGTCTCAGAGGAACATCTCAGCAGCAGGGCAGATGTTCCAGGATGGAGGGATAAAGACAGATGGAGTTGGGTGGAGTTGGGATATGTGCCCAGCAGCAGCTTTCCAAACCCCAAAGTTGGGGTGTCCCATTCCCAGTTGCTGGAGGAACCTCCCAGCATCCGCACACAGCCTCTCAGAAAGAGCTGAAGGTGGAAGTGGTGAAAGCTCAACCCTAAGTAGCTGCTGCTTTTGTTTAAAACCCTTTATAAGAGGGTCCACAGAAACACTTCCATAGCTTACAGATTGAAGCCCTCCTACAACTTTTAGAAACAAATGCACTCTGACATCATTCACAGCCCAGCACTGCTCTTGTGCAGAGCATTCCAGCCACCATAGCCCAGCCAAAGAAGAGCAGCATCGCCAGCAGGATCCACAGCTCAGATTGTCGCAGATGGGAGAAATGCTGTGGGCTTTCTGCTCTACCATGCTTCCCCTCTGCCTTCTCTTTGCAGGCAGGGCACAGAACTGGTGCTGAATGAGGCAGCCGGGCACCTGTTGCGGACGAAGGCAGTGGAGCATGCAGACGGCGGGGTGGCAGCCGGGGTGGCGGTGCTGGACACCCCCTACCTGGTGTGAGCGCCTCGTGCAGTGCCCACAGGGCTGGGCTGCCAAAGGGATGCTTCCCTTAGGGTGCACCTAGTGAGGTGGGAAGGGCTGGAGACAGCCAAGGGTTTTGCATTGGTTTGAAATGTGCTCTTGGAGGCTGCTGCAGCACTGGAGGTGACCCTGCTCAGTGCCAGTCCCAGTTTTGTTATGCTCCTACGCACATGGACAGCTGCCCTGCTGCAGCTTCCCCAAGCCTCCATCAATGATAGTGTGTTCTCTTGGCTTCACTGTGGGACCAACACTGAGGGATGACAAGATACGTCTCCCCCGGGTTTCCTGAATGAATGGGAACAGAGCAGAGGGTGCTCCTGCCCATGGGCTCATGTCTGCAGTGCACCCCCCTCTTCCACTCCAGCCCTGCTCAGCTGAGCAACTCCAGGTGTGACAAGAAGTGCCCCTTCCTGGAATTGCCCAGGTAAAGCACCTAGGCAGCCTGAGCTCTGCTGCTCAGTGACTGCAGCGAGGCCTCATGCCTGTGTTCCTGATACCCCTGTTGGCTGTGCCTACAGCCTGCAGTCCAGGTGCCTCAATCAAGCATTGATCTGCCACTGTGCAGTGGTTCTGTTCTGTGGCTGATTCCACAATCCGTGGCTGGTGTTCAGTTGGGGGGCTTGATTACCCCATCAGAGATTAAAACATATGCTGAATCTAAACAAGGCTCTGGGGTCAGTTTTGTTGAGAATAGCTGTGCAAGGAGGGACACATATCTTAAGTTGTACCTGGAGTGGGGGAAGCATGATTGACATTTTGCATGAGTCAGGCTGAGTGCAAGCTCTGGGGGTATGCCCTTGGCTGAGCTCCGTCCCCAGCTTCAGGTGAAGCTGTCAGGGCTGCTGGTTGCTTTGGGCTCTGCTCAAACTCCATCTTGTAGACAGAGCTGGGGTCACATCCTCCTTTACACACTTGCTCACTGCTCTGACACCAGGGGAGCTGGTTCTGTTCAACCTGGTCCCTGCAAAGCCAAATTTGATCTGACAAGCTGTGGTGGCAGCTGAGAGCTCACTGCAGTCTCTCAGAATCCTCTCCTCCCAGCTCGGCTCCTGGTCCAAGCGTGGCTTCTGGGCAGCTGCACGCCTGTGCATGGACATTTCATGTACCTTGGTCAACCTGGCAGCTTCTGCTCAGTTCAACTAAGTCTGTGCAGCAGCATTGGAGATGTGTAATGCACTGCAGTGCAGCATGAGCTGCCAATGCTGAGCTGCAGGTGTGAGGCACAATACCCTCCAGGTGGAAATAGTCTGGTCTTAGTCCTTGGGTGTGCATTTTGCTGGAGCAGTGAGCAGGGAGAACGCAAGGTTAGCTGCAGCCATGAGGTGAGCACTGTAGCAGGGCTCTGAGCTACTGAAGGCAGCAGCATGTGCTGCTTTCTCCCTGGCACTGCTCCTGCATCCATCCTGCATGTTGATGACACGTGGGTGTCACACAGTCTGGTGCTTTCCATCCACCTTAGTGGAATGATGTTGGCTGTGGACCAGGAGAAAAATTAAGCACAGGCTCTGGCCCTGGAGCTTCTGCCCTCTGCCCAGCATAGGGGCAGCACAGACTGAGCCACAGCCTTGGGAAAGGAGAAAAACATCAGCTGACACCACTGCAGTCACATAAGCACCGTCAATGCTCAACCACAACACAGGGATGAGTGTCTGTCCCACGCCACTTTTGGCTTCTAGAACAGCTCCTGGTTATGGCACAGAGGTCTCCCCCTGGACTCCACACCAGACAAACATTTGCACCTACTTCTACACATGCTCTAAACCTGTTTCTGTTTTGTTTTCTTGAATTTTTATTCCATTTTGCATAGAGTTCTAGCTGTCTCCAGCCAAAATTACACAACAGTAGTAACAGAGGAGGAGAACAGATGTAGGAACTCGTGTCAAAGAAGTGGCACAATCCTGTGGAAGGGAGCAGTGGGTGGTATGTGGGACACAAGCACGACTGAGGTTATAGGTCACAGATAGCATGCTGGTGAGAGCAGCAGGCAAGAAATGAAACTTAGGCAGCAGCTCTGCAGAGCACCTGCAACACCTGCCCTGGGCCTTGGAAGAGTTACCTCCTCCTTCCCAGCCAGTCAAACACCAGCTCAATTTAAAGGTAAAGCCAGTTGCAGCAAGATTTAAAGCTCATTTCTCCTTTGGTTTAAGTGTAGGAATCAAACAGTTCATATGTGATTTCAATACAGACATTACAAGGAGGTATCTTTCCCAGCTCAATCCAGAGTTGATGTTCAATGTAATTAACTTGATGAGGAAATATTGGCTTTGGTAGCACCCTCATGGTGCTCAGACTTGGGCTGGAGTTACTGTTTTCTCTCATCATCACAAAGTCATGCCAGATTTAAGCAGAAGTAACACGTTTAGTTGGTATGCAGTGGAAAAGATACCTCTGCAGTGCTCTGTACCAAAGAGCTCTGAAAAATCCAGCTAAAGCACAGAGCTCCCAAGCCTTACCTCATTCCCTTTCAGGTATGGGACCTAAGCTAGAAAACAGTGGATGCAAGACTAAAATTCAGTTGTGCTTATGATGTGAGAGTACTTTTAAGTTTTCCCATAGCTCTGAGTAGAAAAGGAAGCTTACTCAGCATGTAGACAGTGGTAGATGAGCCTCCCTTGCCTGCCTGCACTGAGTAACTCCAGTACCACTTCCCCTACAACCAGCCCCCAGCTCCTTCCCACTAAGGGAACCAACTAAGGACACCAGGGTCCCTCAACTACATAAAGTTAATCAACACCCCCCCCCAAGAGAAAACAATAAAAATCAAGATCGAGGTGATGAAAACAGAGGAGCACAAGTCACAAGTCCCTGTATAATGAGGTCAAACCTCAGATGTATGATACCCATCTCTGATGTGACGTGCATGCTCCTCCAAGGCATGAACATGCTGGCAAGACACAGCCTCTCCAGGGTCAGCCTTCCTTCATCTCTTAACATTTGTACATTCAATTTCAACAGGTGAAGGTCTCTTTCCCAGGGCAGACAGTGGTTACTTGAGGGACCTGCTCATTAGGACACTGCTGCTACAGTTCTGTTCAGCAGGCAGAAGTCATGCTGCTACAGTTTGGTGTCGCATCTGTTGTTGAAAAGCTGGTTTATAACGCCTGGGTTTACCAAGGTGGAGATGTCCCCCAGATCTCTGTCATTTTGGGCAATCTTCCTTAGTATCCGCCTGGTGATCTTTCCTGTAAGGACAACCATGCAAGGAAAGCAGGACTTAGGATCTCTTCAGCATCCCTAGCAAAAGTCAGTGCCCAAACCTACAGCATCCCATATGCCCTAGGGTTGCTCCCCATGAATTTGGCTGTTCCCTGACAAACAATTCAGGGATAATTCCTTTCCACTGGCAGGAACTTATTGGTCCTTCCCAGCAAAGTAGCTGGGCGCCTTACCTGAACGGGTTTTGGGCAGGCTGGGGGCATACTGGATGTAATCAGGCGTTGCTATCGGTCCGATTTTTTCCCTGACTGCAAAATAAAAAAAAAAATAATCTTCATTATAGGTACAAGAAGATCTTGCACGTATTTTTCTGGCAGGTCTACTGAGTTCAGCCACGCAGAGCCCAGCTCCCAGGGCAGCCTGGTGCTCACACAGTGCAGGGCTCAGCACATCTTCCCAAAGGCAGCTGCACTCTAGTTCTCATGTTCTCCATTTCCAAGAGACCTCAATAATCACTGTACCAATCACTGTTACCATTCTGACAGAGCAAGGATTGATTCCCTAATGTGTTCCTGTGGAGAAGGAAGTCCCATGGCAGGTCAGTCCCTGCTCTGCCAGTGCATGCTGGCTGCAGGAGACAGGTTTGCAAATGTTCCCTTCTGCCTCCCAAAGTAACCAAACAGTTCTCAAATCAACCAGGGAGAGCCACAGGAACCATGCCCACCACTGCAAACAAAAGCTGCCCAAGTTCTCCCTGCAACTGCCAGCTCCCAAGAGGTAGAGATGGCATCTAATGAGCAGCCAAAGGCCAGGAGAACTAATTTTAGTCTTTGCCAGCCGTGTTCTCTAATCAGAGGGGGCACCTTGATGCAGTTGTCCATGCTGCATTCCCCAGACTACACGCACCCTCATTTAAGCACCCGAACCCTTAACCCCTCTACTCCCTGCCCAACACTGTCCTTCCCCTGGCAACACAGCCTCCAACCTGTTTGGCTGTTACTACCTTGTTTTTTCAGCTCATCTGTCAGGTTCTTGGTGAATTCGTGGCCATCTTTCAGGGTCACAAAGCAGTAGAGGCACTCGCCTTTCAGGGGGTGTGGGTGGCTGACCACAGCAGCCTCAGAGACGGCTCCATGCCCAAGCAGAGCTGACTCCACCTCTGCAGTGCTCAGCAAGTGGCCTGGAAACAGAGAAGCAGCGCACTGCAGAGCTGCATGGAGGACTGCAGCCCCCCAGCAGCCAGGAGGAAGAGGTCTGCAAGTGTAAAAAGTCCTGAGCTGCATGTTAGAGAGGACTGGTTTCACTTGCTTCTCTCTCCAGCTGTTTCCTCAAACCCATTTGAGCAGTTCGGTGGTGTGGGCTGCCCCAGGGGGCTGCCAGGCATCACTCACATGAGCTCAGGATGCAGGGTAAGGCTACCTCCCCTGGCTGCTCTCCTTCCCACCTTTAGGTTTCTTTCTTCGACAGGTCTGTGAATTGTTCACAGACACAGGATTAAACAAATCACAGGCTGAGAAGGAGTTGGATTTGGTAAGAGGAGAGCTGCCCACAAGGTCAGCTGAGGAGGAACAGGCTGGACCTGCGCTGCTCCAAGTCATTGCTGTGGAGATAGAAAACAGAACTTCCCAACACAAGGCTGGGGCACAATTCACTTTTGTATACCTGCTGCACCCACACTCTGATATTCTGGGACTGCTGTCACAGAAAACCACAGGAAGGTGACCAACTCCCAAAATGATCTGTTGATAAGGATCTAGCTTGTCTGATGAAAGGATCTAGTTTGATGCAGGTAAAAAAGTACAGCAGCATTTCAGAGCCAGCAATGAGTACCTTCAGGCTACAACTCCAGAAGAGGAGAGAGAACCTCCATCTCTGGGGGCAAAGCACTGAGCAGCTTGATCCAGCTTTTAAGTTAACCCTACCTGGAGCTACATGTTGGGTTAGAGACTGCAAGGCCTTGCCCAGCCTGGATGTCTGTGCTTCCCTTTGGCACTGCATGCTTCAACACAAAGCATGTATGTTGGCTGAGGATCTCCTTTAAGATACTGCAGAAGGCTCCTTCCCTCCAGTGTACTGCTACTGGAGGAATTAATTCAGAATCACAAAGTCACAGGCATGTCTGATTTGGAAATAAACCTGATCCAGCAATGAGATCCATCTAGAGGACAGGCTGCTAGGCAGTCTCACACATGGAGAAACGCTCTCCATAAAAGCAAAGAGGCTCTTTTAACTAGCATCAGGAAGCACACTGGCTCCCACTGAAGACAAAAGTTGTTCTTACCAGAAACATTCAGCATGTCATCAATTCGCCCTGTGATCCAGTAATAACCATCTTTATCTCTCCTGCAACCTAAAAATAGCCAGAAATGACAGCATGAGGAAGCAGAGCCAGCTCTTGGAGCAACTGATAACGGATCCTGAGGCCAAGACTTTGCAAGATTTTAATTGCTGTCCTCAAGCCTCTGCACCCACACACTGCCCAGACAGCCTTACCATCACCTGTCACGTAGTACCCAGGGAACTTCTTGAAGTATGTGGTTTCAAACTGCTGGTGGTTTCCATACAGTGTGCGCATTATTCCTGGCCAGGGCTGCTTAAATACCTACAGTGAAAAATGCAGACCTGAGTCAGTGGTCAACTCTTAACGAGTGGCTGTTCGTCAGTGTTTCTAAATCACCTCCATGTACCCACAGTACTGCTGGCCAGCTAGAGCACTTGCTAGGGCTTGCTAGTTCAGCATAACCCTTTTGTAGCTCCTGGGGACATGGAAAGAACAACTCTACTCTGAAGAACTCATCCAAGGCTCAAAGTATCTATCAAATACCTGCTTTCTACCTCCTTCAATTCAGGGTCCTATAAACTGTTTATTCTGCTAATGGAAGGAAGGTAGCTCAGTCTTTGCAGTGCTGTGCAATGATAGAGATGCTGCAGAGGTGGCCATAAGAAATGACACTCAGACAGCTACTGCCTCATGCTACTGAGAAAGCCTCTCCACTCCCTCCTGCCATACTCATGCATGCAAGTGCCTTTATGGATCATTTAACTAGCTTATTCATGGCACAAAATTCACAGTGAGTTACAGCAATAAAGAGAGCTCCTACCACCCAAGGGATCCAGTGTAAGCAGAGATGTGCATACGCTACCCAGAACGTCCTGGAGCTTGTGGGGAACAGACAAGGGTAGGGTGAGGAAGATCAGCCCCTCTTTACCAAGTAGCCTTCTGCTTCTCCTTCCAGCTCTTCCCCCGACTCGTTCATGATGGCAGGGACCACACCAAAGAAGGGGAATGTCTGCCATGGGGACCAGAACAGCAAGCAGACATGAAGATGAACCCAGACATTCAAACTTTGCAAACTAGAAGGATGGGGAGCCCTCTCTGTAAGGGCAATGGTAATACTCACAGCAGAGCCTGGTTTCATGGGGGTGGCGGCAGGGAGAGGCGTAAGCATGTGGCCACCCTGAGAGGCAAAAGGAATGAGATTAGATGATGCCAGCTTGTGGGGAAGGGTACAACAGAACAGAGGGAGTCCATGTTTGGGCACAAAGCTTTGAAACTGCTGGAGATGATAAACAGAGGGAGAACAGGGTTCAGAGCAGACCTTGTCAGCATGAGAAGGTCTCCCCATGGAGCCTGTTTGAGGCCCTGAGAGAGAAGGGGAACCAACACTTGCAGGCTACATGAGATGCTGGGCAAAGCTCCTAGACAAGGAAAACAACTGGTCCCCATAGCACCAAAGAAACATTATGAGAAACTTGCAAAGACACCACGCTGCCTGCTGGGAGCACAAAGAAAAGAGAAGTCCCAGAGACACCCAGCTGAGGACTCACCGTCTCTGTCTGCCAGAACGTGTCCACAATGGGACACCTCTCCTCTCCCACCACACGGTAGTACCACAGCCAGGCTTCAGGGTTGATGGGCTCCCCAACGGTCCCCAGCACCTTCAGAGACTTCCGGCTGTGCCTGCAGAGAGGAGGGGGCTCACAGGGGCTCAGCAGGCCGCAGAGAAAAGCAGTCGTGAGCCTGTGGCACCGCAGAGCCTGCAGGAATCCCCAGGCCTCTCAAATACATTTGGAGTTTCAATAATTCAGTCCCTTCTCAGCTCTCTCCCACAGGGGAAAAAGGGAAACTCCTGTGGTTTTGTTGCCTCCTGCTCCAAGCTCCCACTTGGCTCTCCTCCTTCCCTTCTTTGGGTCAAGCTGCATCACAGAGGGGCCCCTCTGCCCAACACTCCTCTGTGAGCCCTGGGTGGGAGAGCAGGGGAGAACCTGCAGTCTGAAAGCTTAGCTGCAGCTCACGCTGAAAAAGAACAACCTGCTCTGGGGTGCCACACTGAAGGCAGTGAAGGGGTGCAAATCGCTGGGTTGAAGGCTAAAGATCCTGTTTTGTTCAGACAACATGGTGGGATAATGCTGCTCAGAGAGGAAGCTGTGCTGGTGCCAGGGACCCCCGTGCTCCTGGGGACTGACTCACTTTTTGACGGGCTCCTCCCCACACTTCATCAGCAGCCGGATGGCTGTGGGTGCTGTGTAGAACTTGGTCACCTTGTACTTGTCAGTGATACTCCACATTCGCCCAGCGTCCGGGT